TTTCTTTTCCCTCCCATTTTGACATATAACCTCCAACTCTTTCATCTCTCTCTCTCCTGCCTCCCCCCTCTGTCATTCAATCCTTCATTCTGTCACTTCCTTATTTCTCTAGCCATTTTCCCGAGCTCTCGTTCACTTCTCTGTCTCTCTTTCTTTCTGCCTGTCATTCAATGTTATATGCTCCCCGCCCACCCCCTCACTCCCTTGCTGCCATTTGTCAAGCCGCCTTCTTTTCAGTTGTGCTGTATTGCTACAGTTTGCCTCTCCATAACTCTTTTGCACTTTAAACTCTGTTTTCCCTTCAGTCACATCTTCTTCTTGCACCTCTATCTCTGCCTTTTCTCCCCTGTTGCCCACTCCCCTATCTCTCCCTCTATTTCAGTGTTCACCTTTGAACCTCCCCCCGAGGATCTATTTTCTCTTTTCTCCTTCTTCTCTCCTTCAGTTCTCTTTCTGTTGATCCTAAAACTGGGCAAGAAACCAATGGTGTTGACCACTGGCACAGCAAACATTTATTAACAAGCAATTAGACAAGCAATTTTGCAGAATATGTGAAAGGAAAGGAAAATTTATTCACCCTTCTCTTATCGAGGTTTTATTTTTTTTTCTCTTGGCAGATGCATCTCCCCTCAGCACCTTCTAAGAACTGTGTTTACATTTTTCATTTTTGTGCCTTACGCTCGTTTAATCTTTTACTGGATTTAGATACTGTATGAAGGGCTTCATTTAGAGTCGAGATGCCTTATTCGGCACACTAAAATTAAATCTTACTTCTGCAAAGTGATTGCTTGCAGGAGAAATGGAGAAAATTTTAGAAGAGCTTTTACTTTACATGCCAGTATAAGCGTGTTAAAGACCAAGGCTGTGTCTCAGTGTAATATAGCATACTAATTCTAAGCAGGCCAGAATATGTAATGTGTTCACAGTGGGGAAGTGACACATTAAGTATACTTACGTAGTCGGTATTGGCACTAAAAACGCTTGGTTTTTGAAGGTGCTGTTGCTAGATAGTATTGTCTCCCAGCGAAATGCACAAAAAAATGAGGAGCTGCTCACAGCTGCAAAACATTAAAACAAATAGCCGACTACTGGAGGAAGGAAAAAAAAACAGTCTTGAATCTTAGGAAAAACATTTAGCTTTTTCTTTGTGAAGTTTAATTAACAGTGGTATTCTAAAGTCTTGGTTGGATTTATGCTTGTGCACAGACCAGACCACCAGGAAAAGCACGAGTGTAACTAATAACATTAATTATGACCGCATTCCACGTAGGTGCACAAGAGGCGTTGTTAATGTTATTAGTTACACTTATTTCATTACTATTTCCTGCTATCACATGTTAAACAGCTGTGAAAATCACAGATCACAAACATCGGTTTCTTTTACTGCAACGACGGTGTACTACAACAATTAGTATTTAGTATATGAATACAGTATGATGAATACAGTAATATGGAGGTGGGACACAAGACAAATGTATGTCTTGGATACAATGAATATCCCAAATTATTCCTCTTTCTTTAGATGCCACAGTAGAGAGGTGCAACAAAGGGTTATGTGAATTTGATCCTAATTTGATAATAGATACTGACTTTGTAGATTATGTACGCTGTTTTTGGAGGACAATGGAAAATATAATATATCATACTTCTGAAATATATATAACTGCACCAAGAGACTGGACAATGTACTATATTCAATACGTATTTTTATTTCTCTTATTCTCATATATTCATCTATTTATAAAAATAAATAAATAATGCAATTAATGCATTTAATCGATACCCCAGGGGATGCTGAATTTTAAATATTTTTATTTGACCTATAAATAAATATAGTATAGTAGAATAGATGGTGTTTTGGTACACTGGATAAAAGCTCGATTTCAGATCTATTTCTCTCCCTCCCACTGTCTTCCACTGATAGGTGAGTGGTGGGAGGATGTACACAGCTTAAGGTTTTGCCTCTCGCTGTTTATCAGCTGGAAGTGATGGCTTCACACATCAGTGCATTAGTCTGTCAATCAATAATATGACTTAATAAATCAGTCTTTGCTTTTATAGGTGAACCATTTAGTGATAATGATGATAACGAAACATACTCATTGATTCGTAACAGTGAAAGAGTTAATTTTATAGTAATGTTGAGACACACGTGTCTCCATTTGTTGCCCTAACAAACACATACATTAGTATGGTTGTTTGTCTTGAGATTAACACATCTTATCCAAATACCAATCGGTTTCTGGGCTGAGCTGCTGCATGCCACAACCTGTACGTGTTTGTGTGTATGTGTACTAGTAAAAATGCAGGTATGCAGAGTGATGCAGCTGCTGTTTTACCATCTTATTCATAGACACCCGCTGCCTTTCAGCAGACGCAGGGTAGAGAGTTACTATAATACCGTTACATACGGTATGATTGGTCCTTAGTTTAAGCTGAAATTACCTTGGATGCCCAGGTAAGAAACACACACACACACACCCACACAGAGGACAGTCAGTCAGGCGAAGCTGCAGAGCGATCTGTAAGCTCAGTAATGAAAGTTAAAACAACACACAAAGGTGGACTATTGATTGTTTGTAGGGGAAGAAAAAGAGAACCAAGACTTTCCTGCTTGAGTTGAGCCAAATTACTCTACTGCAGTGTTATCCATCCTGTAATTTGGCTGACACAAGTTTTCAGTTCGTCAGTATTCTCATCAACTCAACTGCTATTAGTTATTTTTCCCCCTCTATCTTTACCTGAAATAAGTAATTTTTTTAGAAAACTTTTCAGCTTTCCTTCTGCCCGGTCCTCAGACCTTTTACTGTTGCACTCACAGATATATCAGATCTACCTCTGTAGTGTTTCTTTTTTTCTGTCTAGACAAACACACACCTGCTGATTTGATTGCTGTGTTTATCAGCCTCTCACTTTTCCCTCACTCTCCTGAAGGCCAGAGACACTTAGCCGCCCCAAAAAATAAATAAAATAAACTGGGAGAGATGCTGGCACTGAGGCTCTCTGTTGCCATAGCGACCAACAGGCTCACCTGTTGCCAATGGTTCTCATATTTTTTAAAAAGAGGAGAGGCATAGAAAAAGTGATAAAGGACTGGAAAAGAAATGCACGGCAGGGCTTTGAGAAGCACATACAGAAAGAACGGCGTCAAAAAATATACAATCGATGCCTTTGTGGTGCAGTTAAAACGTAGGAATTGTTTGTTTTAATCCCACCTACCATGTTACCTAACCTACTATGTTAGATTGCTTTGATTGTCTCCCAAAAAAAAAGTTACTCGCGTGATTAATCTGATGTACTAACTTCTGATTCACAGACATATTGTCTATGGTCAGTGCTATTGATTATGGTCAAAGCCTAGAAGACACTGCAGGCAAAAAAAGAGAAGTTAAGCACCGGGGACAAAGGTCGACACACTGTCTATTTATGTTGATCTTTTAGCCACTTAGTCCCGTTTATCCTGTGAAATGTTAAGGATTAGTCATAACTAAAAAGCTTTTAGCTTGTGTAGGAAATAATGACAATTTCAGTCGATGTAACGCTTGAAGATGAGTCATGTTTTTCAAACCTCATTACCTGAAGACTGTTAATGGGTGTTTCGTACTTTGAAACACAGCAGCCATTTAAGTTGCAGTAACATTCAAATTCCAAATGATACGAAAAGGCTCTCCATTCGAGGACTGATTTTAAAATTGTTCCACTTTCTCCCACTTTTATTCCCCCACAGTGAGGAGAGCGTCTCCTGTTTTTATTCACTGTGAATGATTCCAGTTAGTCACTCTTGTGTGAGTGACTTTTGCAGACTGAAATTTCCTCATGAAAATCTCATTTAATTGTTACATATGGAAATGTGGTTGGATGTGCCAAGGAAAGTCATGATGTGCAAGCTAAAACTGGTTCACAACAGAGATTGTTTGTGTGTGTGTGTGTGTGTGTGTGTGTGTGTGTGTGGAGGGTGAAGAGGTGATGAGCAGCGGGACTTTGCGGTCAAATGACTAGATTATAAATTCAGTGAGTGGTTCGGGGGGACAGCGGGGATGCATGCAATTAGTCAAGTGACAGTTTTGATTACAAGGCTGTAGAGTTTGCATTTATGTGAGCGTGGACATGCAGTGTTTGTACTCATTCAAGTGACTACGTGATTGTGGGACTGTTGAGAGTGTGTGACACTTATCAGTGGTGAGATTGTTTACATGGCCTGGTGCACAATGTTAACACACAGTGATAGGAAACAGAGAAAGAGAGATCTGTGCTCCACACGCAAACACACAGACACAGTTTAGAGAGTGTAAGATGATGAGACAGAATATATTGTTGTATTATAGTTTAATCAGCAGATGATTGGAAAACAAACTGCGACCCTGAAAAGCCTCTTGCAGGTTTCAGTGTCTGTGTTTGGGCAGATCAGAGGTACAGTGTTTAACTGCTGATGGGTCACTATACATGACATTACAGACTATACCAGTGGTTTTAGCCAGTTACATACAAATGGCATATCTACAGCGCTCTAAAGGTCCACTATGTAACATATAGGAGGATCTATTG